TTTATTTTTTTATTTTTTTGTCAAAGGCTGTTAGGTATCTTGTCTCTGAGGTTTTTGTTTTTAACATTTTTTTTTAACAAACGATATTATCTATATTAAAAAAGGACAAACGATATTATCTACATTAAAAAAGGGAGAGTAAACTAAGCCTCACGTTCTTGTGATTTAAATTCGCCTTAGCATTAAGAAGGGGAAAATATACATATATATGGGTTGTTAGGATTTGAGAACACACATTTTTCACACACGTTCTTGTGGGGTTCATTATATAATGTATTTTAACAACCTAAATCGTCTATTTTTTAGGTTTTCTATCAAATATCATGTCTACCAAAATTATACAAATCTAAACCATATGACTATTGGATTAAATTGTTTCTTTGTAGAACGGTATTCCTCCAATTTCTTCATTAGAAATAAATGTCTTAATGGTTTTGATTTGTCTAATTTTTTACAAAGATGATTTATAAATGAGATACTGTTGTAAACATTCCTAGTTTAAGTATGATTGTGTAAATCCTAGATTAGATTTGATTCTAGTTATCATTTCCTATTGTATCTTGTATTCCTTCGGGATGAAGGAATATCTTCTCTCCCATTATTACTATAAATAAAGGCACAATGGAGAGATAACAACACACACATTTCCCTACAATTCTACAAGCACATCTCTCTCTCTTCTCCTTGCCGTCGGCCCTCTCTCCCCTTGTCAGGTAAAATAGACCACAACACGTTATCAGCACGCTCCTACCGTTGTCCACAAGGAACGCTGCATTCTCCAAACTGTTGGCTCAGGTTATCAAGCTCATGGCTCACCACCCTGATTATCCGATCAAATCTATTCTATTGGATAATGCTGGAGAATTCACATCTAAAACTTTTGATGACTATTGCATGTCAATTGGGGTTGAAGTTGAACATCCAGTACCTCATGTTCACACCCAGAACGGCCTGGCAAAAGCTTTCATTAACTGCTTACAAATGATTACCTAATCGTTGGTTATACGTATCAAGCTCTCGATCGCTGCTTGGGGCCATGCAATATTGCACGCAGCAAGGTTAGTCCGTCTGAGGCATGTTGCGGCACAACCATTTAGTGCCCTTCAGTTGGTTACCGCATATGAACCTCACATATTGCATTTGTGCGTTTTTGGTTGTGCAGTATATGTGTCAATCTCGCTGCCCTTACGTACAAATAGAGGGCCTCAGCGAAAGATGGGAATCTATGTCGAATATGATTCTCCTTCGATTATTCTTTACTTAGAACCTTTGACAGGCGATCTGTTTACCGCTCGTTTCATGGATTGTCACTTCCATGAGACAGTCTTCCCATCTTTAATGGGAAATAAGAATGTCAACATTCCTGAAGAACGACGCGAATTATCGTGGACAACTCCCACTTTATCTCATTTAGATCCCCGCACCGCTCAGTATGAAGCTAAAGTGCAGCATATATTAGATCTCCAGAGCATAGCTCAGAGCATGCCAAATGCTTTCATCAATCTAGCGCGCGTGACAAGATCACATATTCCAGCTGCGAATATGCCTGCAAAGATGGATGTACAAATGTACGACGGACTGCCCTCCTGGAAGCCCGGGATGCCAATCTTGGTGATCCATGTACATTAGCGGCTTGCCAATCATCTGCCCCTACACAAAAGCATGGTAGACCCTTTGGTTTAAAGGATTCACACCCCCGGAAGAGGAAAACCACGGCATAAGGTCCCGATGAGCCTACCGTGAATCCGACTATCGCTTACTCATTCTATCCAACTCTTAAGGAAATTCTAGATTATGGAAGCATCCTTGAAAAGACGAATCCTCCTCCCGAGAATTAGGAGATTTCAGTCTATTATGCTAGCATAGTTGATATGTGGCATAAAAATGAGATGATTGTCGACGATGCATTAGCATTTGCAGTAGCTACTGAGATCATGTTGAGCGATGACATTGAACCGCGTTCCGTTGATGAATGTCAACGTAGAACTGATTAGTCAAACTGGAAACAAGCAATCCAAGTTGAACTCGATTCGCTTACGAATCTGTTATGGATGTGATTACTTTTTGCTACCTTATCAATTTGGTAGTTTTCGAAAAACTGGATATGCAGGTGATGGACGTATTAACCGCGTATCTCTATGGGGATCTTGATACGGAAATTTATATGAAAGTTCCCGAAGGACTTACATTAATTGGTTCAAATATTTTCAAACCCCGGAACACGCTCTCAATTCGGCTGAGGCGTTCACTCTACGGTTTAAAACAATCTGGAAGAATGTGGTATAACCGTTTGAGTGAGTATTTGACTAGTCAGGGATATGTGAACAATGAACTATGCCTTTGTATGTTCATTAAGAAGTTACATTTTGAATTTGCGATTGTTGTAGTATATGTCGATGACATGAATTTTATCGAAACTCCTGAAGAGTTCGCAAGAACTGCTTCGCACCTAAAGTCAGAATTTGAGATGAAAGATCTAAGTAAGACTCGATACTATCTCAGTCTTGAGATACAGCATTGTTAGGATGGAATCCTAGTACATCAATCGAACTACACCGAGAAGGTGTTGCACCGCTTTAATAAGGATAAAGCGAAGCCTTCGAGTACTCCTATGGTCGTTCGATCACTAGATGCAAAATGAGATCCCTTCCGTTCGAAGAAGGATGATGAAGAGATTTTGGTGCCTGAAGTTCCTTATCTAAGTGCGATAGGCGCTTTATTGTACTTAGCTCAATGCACTAGACCTGACATCTCCTTCGCTGTTAATCTTTTGGCAAGATACGGTAATGCACCTACATGCAGACATTGGACTAGGGTGAAAGACATCTTCCGTTACCTTAAGAGTACTACGGATTTGGGTTTGTTCTATTCCTACGAATCCTCAAATGATGCCGCACTCATTGCTTCTCGAGTCGATTTTCGCCTTATTGGTTATGCCGACGCAGGATACTTATCTGATCCTCACAAGGCACGCTCTCAAACGAGTTATGTCTTTACTATTTGAGGCACCACAATCTCTTGAAGGTCAACTAAACAGACCTTAGTTGCCACTTCGTCTAACTAAGCTGAAATTCTCGCCTTACATGAAGCAACTAGGGAATGCTTTTGGTTAAGAGCAGTAGTGGGCCATATTCGAAGCTCCTGCAATCTTTATCCCTCCGTTAATGCCCAGACGACGATTTTTGAAGACAACACAGCATGCATCGAACAGCTCAAGAATGGTTACATCAAAGAAGACGACACCAGGTACATTGTGCCAAAGTTTTTCTTTACACATCAACAACAAGAGTATCAGAAGATTGAGGTCACGCAAATCCGTTCACAAGACAATCTGGCCGATCTCTTCACCAAATCATTGCCGAAGACGACATTTCAGAAGCATGTTCATGGAATTGGTATGCGTAAACTTTCTGAGTTGTAACTTTGTTATTTCTCTTTTGGAACCATGTCAAACTCAGGAGGAGTATCCTGTAGATACTTGCTTGATCTTAATGTACTCTTTTCCCCTACGATTAGGAACATTTTTCCTACTGGGTTTTTGCTACCTAAGTTTTAACGAGGCACCTACCTTAGGTTGGTCATATCCCTGAATGACGTCTTGTAGACGTTTCTTTGATTTTGCATTTCTCATACATTTTTCCTTAGACTATGGATTTTGTCCCTCCTCGGGTTTTTGCCATAGCCTTAGGGTTTTTTTAGTGAGACGTACTAGTTATGCAAGTTCCTACCTTATTGAGAATAAGCGTTGTTCCTTGGAATCAGTGCCGATGAGTTGACTTCCTCAACTTTTGCATGATGTTAAATCTACCTTGAGTATTTACACACTCAAGGGTGAGTGTTGTAAACATTCCTAGTTTAAGTATGATTGTGTAAATCCTAGATCGGATTTGATTCTAGTTATCCTTTCCTATTGTATCTTGTATTCCTTGGGGATGAAGGAATATCTTCTCTCCCTTTACTACTATAAATAAAGGCATAGTGTAGGAGAGATTACAATACACACATTCCCCTACAATTCTACAAACACATCTCTCTCTCTTCTCCTTGCCGCCAGCCCTCTCTCCCCTCATCAGATAAAATAGACCACAACAGATACTAAAATATAAACAGTTCAAAATTATATATTTATGCTTCTTTTATTACTGCTAGTTTAATTATCCTAGCTTAATCATTGCGACAACCTCCTGTTGGCTTATCTTTTATCCATTAATTAAGGATGGAGCTGATTTATAATGTTTGCATTTCTACATGGAAATACACATATTATCCCTTACGGATATATTTTCACAATATAAATTTCGTAATAAAATCTAATTATTTCTTACTCTTGATTTGAAAACCATCTTTACAAAAATATAATTCAAATCAAAGATGTTTAGTCATCCAAATGTTTTAAATAAATAGAGTGTTCATCATAGTACTCATACAGTTGATTTTTTCAATAAATGCGGACGCATAAATGATCTCCAATTCAAAATTTTTGTATAGAAATGACATTCAAATGAAGATTAAGAAATTAAACGGTTCTGATTATAGAATTTATATGGTGAAGATACGTACATTTCCGCTATGGGAAGGTACATGTATTATACATGATTTTCACACATCTTTTTAACTCCTCACACGCCTCTTTTAATTTATGCTCATCAAATTGAATAAATAAATAAAACAATACAATATTAAACAAGGGTGTGAAGGAGAAAATATAATTTCCTTCTGTATAATACTGAGGAATATGATCTCATTATTGGCTTCAAGGACATACATAATACATCCAGCAGTGTTAAGAAAGAACTAAAAGACGTTTTAGGATTTATTCCATCGAAAAAAAAAAAAGGAGAGTTCCAGCATCTCTATCTATCTTTTTCTCTCAACCTTATCATCCTCACTTATTCAAACAAAGATAATGCTAGGTAGACCAATCTATAAACCAAATTTACAAACTGCACGTGAGTAAGCTCAAGCATGTTGAGCGTGTGAGGTTGTGACGGTTACTTGTTTTTATTCTCACCACTCATGCTTTGTGTGCATTTGTGTGAGCTGATGCAATCGAATCCAATGTGAAACAAAACAGTAAGGTACTCTCTATTGCTGTGCTTATCTTCTTCTTCCTTCCATTTCCAAAAACACCAACAGAGCTACTGAAATCAACGTTAAATCGAAAATCACACCCCTGATCCTCTCATTCCAACCATACGATCACTGCTCCTCCTCTGCTACCAATAATCCCAGCTCTTTCATGTCTTCCGACGATGAGACTTTTGTTGCTGCAAACTTAATTTCGCGGCAACATTTTTTCCTCGACCATGTCCATATATTGGGGCTCTTTCTGGCTCTTTGTGTTTTTGTAGTCATAAAAACCTTAAGGCAAAAGAAGCAACATGGCATACCAGTTTGGCCAGTGCTTGGCATGTTCCCCTCTCTGTCTCTGGCGGTACTTGGTCTCCAAAACAACACATATGAGTGGCTCTCCGAAGCTCTTTGCCTCAAAAACGGAACGTTTCGATTCAAAGGCCCTTGGTTTAGCTGCCTCTTTGGAGTCATCACTTGTGACCCTCGTAACTTGGAGCACCTTCTCAAGACCAAGTTCTCCAATTACCCCAAAGGCCCTTATTTCCTAGACACCGTTAGAGATTTTCTCGGGGATGGAATATTCAGCGCGGACGGTATGAATTGGCAGTGCCAAAGGAAAACGGCGAGCATTGAGTTCCACTCAGCCAAGTTCCGGAAACTGACGGTGGATTCCTTGTTTGAGCTGGTTTACGCTCGGTTGTTACCTGTCTTGGAGGACTCCATAAAAAATTCGACCCAAATCGACCTCCAAGACATTCTTATGAGGTTGACTTTTGACAACATTTGCATGATCTCATTTGGGGTCGATCCCGGTTGCTTGCAGCGGGGTTTACCCAACATACCATTTGCTCAGGCTTTTGAGGACGCAACGACGGGAACGCTGATGCGCTTTGTAATCCCCACGTGCGTATGGAAGGCCATGAGGTGCCTCAACTTGGGTGGAGAGAGGAAGCTTAAGATGTCCATAAGAGAAGTGGATGAATTCGCAGATGATGTCATCCGGACAAGAAAGAAAGAACTAGCTTCACTGCTTAATAGTAACGATGAGATTTATTCAGAGAAGAAGCAAATTAAACCAGACCTGTTAACGGTGTTTATGGGGTTGAAAGACGAGAAGGGAGAGGCGTCTTCAGAAAAGTTCTTGAGGGATATATGCGTTAACTTTATATTGGCGGGGAGAGACACGTCATCCGTGGCATTGAGCTGGTTCTTCTGGCTGCTTCATCACAATCCGGAGGTGGAACACAAGATTCTTCAAGAAGTACGCAACATTGTGGGTACGAGATCATCATCGGATCACAATAATGATGAAATAACAGTATTCAAGCCGGAAGATATAAAGAAGATGGAGTATCTTCATGCAGCTATATCAGAGGCTCTAAGGTTGTACCCTTCGGTTCCACTCGATCACAAGCAGGTAAGTTCAATGCAATTAATTCGCAATCTGCACTTTAGTTCTTTTTCTTTTTTATTAGATTAGTTTACGAGTACTTAAATGTATATTGTTTATCACATATTCATCAACTAATTATATACTCATGAACTATATTTGCATGTAGGCAGTTGAAGACGACATATTTCCTGATGGAACGATACTGAAGAAGGGGACGAGAGTGATATACTCAATTTACAGCATGGGGAGAATGGAGGCGATTTGGGGAAAGGACTGTAGGGAGTACAAGCCTGAGAGATGGCTACAACCTTCAGATGGCCGTTTCATGAGTGAATCTGCCTACAAATTTACGGCTTTCAATGGCGGTCCTCGCCTGTGCTTGGGCAAAGATTTCGCTTATTATCAAATGAAGTTTGTTGCTGCCTCTATCATCTATCGATACCATGTGAAGGTGGTCGAAAATCATCGGGTGGAGCCAAAGCTCGCACTGACCATGTACATGAAGCATGGCTTGCAGGTCACTCTCCACAGACGTGACCATGCAAGCTGAGCGCCAAAATTTACTAGAAATTATATTATATTAATATTGGAGATGTGTTTTCCCTTTCGTTTTCGTCGATTGCGACATTGTTGCTGTTTATAGATAAATAGTGTCTTGGAGTTCTGTAGCCTGGAGGAGTCGTAAAGGAACTGAATTTCTATATAAAGCAGAATTATTGTGAGACCGTTCATCTTTTGTTTTGTCCAGAATGGATCAAAATATTGGACAAAGGTGTGTATTGTTTGGTAAGAAATCCTTTCAACAGCGATTAATTAAGAGTTATGGCATCTGTCTAAATTATCAGTCGGTCCTGTTTCACCTCTAAAATATCTTGGTGTCCCTTGTTAATTTTGACACTTGAGCAAACACTTTCTAGCCACTATAACAAATTTTGACTTTACCAACAAAATTAGTTTTGACAAAAGTCAAAATTTGTCAACAAAGAGTCTTTCCTAATGAAAAAAAAAATTTGCCGATCTTTTCATCACACAAAGCATGTTGGATAAGAGTTTTGCGGACGAATATTATTATTTCGTTGGCTCAATTTTCAGTCAACAAATCTTGGGCGTCAAACTGTGTCTGTCACCAAGATAACTTTGCGGCCAAATAACTTGTCAGCAACGGCATTATTGCTGTCAAAATATTTGTCGGATAGGTTGTTCTTCGCTACAAAATTTTTGGGTTAATTTCAGTTTAATATCTTGAAGTTTTTTGGTTTTCAACATTTCATGCATTAAGTTAATCTAGTAACTAAAGTCATAATTCTAGGACATTTTTATACATCCGTTAAGTTATCTACTAAAACAGTCGTTAACCCGTGACATGGCGTCCACATGAACAATCACTGGGTGCCACGTGTCAATATGGGCATACGTGGATATTAAAAAGAGTCCGCTAAGCATTAAACTAAGCATATTGGAAAATGAGTAGTAGTCTGGTATCTAATCATTCGTAGATAACTGTTAAGTTCCAAACGAAGAAAGATTTCGCTTAGCATTTATGTCATCTTCTTCCTCAACCATATGCTGGCCGGAATTTGTTTCAATCATTGATACGAACCCAGGCACTTGCTTTGCTAGCTGCTGTATAGTTTGCCCCACGACTGCATAAAAAGTGCGAGACTTTGTTCGACTTCCACGCGAGCTGCGTCAGCTGCATTCACTCTTTACCATTCAATTTGAACGTAATCCTAGCTCCGTAGCTCGGATACTACAAAAGAGATATTTGGTGGAGCAGTTCGTGATCTCCAAAATCTTGTCCCTTCATTATTGCATGCATGCAGCTGGATTTTCTGGATTTTTAGTGTCGGTTTGATTACTATTTTATTTTTTTAATATTTTTTTAGTTTTTATTATTAAATTAGAGAGAAAGTAGATGGATGACTGAAGTGAAGAATGTGGAGGGGGTGTGGGAAGATGCAGAAACAAACATACAATGACATACAAAATGAAAGAAAACCTACTCGAAACTGTTTTGACTTTTTGGTTTTTATTTTCATGTTGTGTATTCCATGTGCATTTCTGCACATCCTTCCCACCACTCATCCTCTACCCTTATTATCAAATTGCGCGCCCTTATCTATTGTTCTTCGAGGTTGATAAATAAAATAACCTATATTTTTGCTTCCTCGATCTATCAAGATATCTCGGTACTACAAACTCAAAGTTACTTAGACATCTTTATAAGAGAAAAACACTGGGAGAGAGGTGGGGTGTGTTGTTAACATAAACATATCACTAGAAACATGCAATATGAATCACAGTACTTCAAATACAAATCCATGTTCATAAACCCTTTAACACATAAAGAAAGACTTACCTGCAGATGAATTTGAGGAAGCAGCCATGTTCAATTTCTGCAGCAAAGTAGCAGTGCACCTTCTTTTCTCTCCAGTAATCATTTTGCTCTTAACTAATAATAGGTCTTAGTCCAAAAATAGAGCGTATAAACTGTGAGAGCAGAGGCCACTATTTTTTTTCTTTTTTTTTTCTTTTTTTTTTTTTTTAAAATTTGGCCACTATATATACAACATAATCTTTGCCAAGTTCTATAAGGACTCCCCTATTAAAATCCATGTAGACAACCAATATAGTGTCTCAGTATAACATGGATTACAAATTCATTCTCAATAAGACTTCCTATCCAAACTTGAGTCAAATAACTTAATCCACATATTCATACTCATGCTCATATTCTAACATGTGTGTGTTGTGTGGCGCTATACCAATTATTAAAGAAAATAAAATCGAAAAAGTTGTTTTTGTGTTCATGAGTACAAATTAAAAAATAACAAGTGCACCAGCTAGAGGTGCAAGTTTGAAGGTGTTTTTGATTTCGATAATAAAGTTTCCGAATTCGAACCCAAAAATTTCGAATGTGAAAATTTTCCTTTAAAATTAGAATGAATTTAGAGATTCCAAGAATTCCAATCCAAATTTTTCTGAACTTATTCCCATGAATTCTTTTTTTTTTCGAAATATAACGATTTCTAACAATTATTTACTCAAATTATGTATTTTATGATGGACTATGTCTTTTTTTTTTTTTTTTTTTCTTTTTGTGACACATGATAGCGTTAGTAGATTAAATTGTTAAATGTTAAGGGAGAGACGGATTGGTGGGGATCGATCGAACATGCACCAAGGTGCATACATTATTGCTTTCAGCCACTGCTGTAAAGCGTCTACATTTTATTGCTAATTTTGGATACATTTTGTTCATTGTTAGTTTTGAAAACCTTTTTGTTCATTGTAATATATCAAGCATACATATATTAAAAGGGATAAGCATACTAGTATACTAAAAAATTAATTGAATTTATATATAAAGATATACTAAATGCAAGTGGCCCTTTACCACAATGGTGGAAATATGTTAAGCTCTTGCATGACATCGTAGGTCGCTAATCTAACACCTAATCTAACAAAGTCTATCATTTGAAAAAAACAAAACATAAAGATATACTGAATAGTACGAAAAAGTAATAAATTGCATGTATGAAAAAATTTGAGAATATTAAAAACCCTATAAAATATATGAACTTTCGAATTATATTCTGAAATTTTAGAGATTACTATGATTCTGAAAATTCCTAAAATTTTGAATTTGAAATTTGTGAATCAATCTGATATAATTTGCCACTTAAGTCTGGTGGTATTCCTCTTCACCTTGTAAGTGAGAGGTCTTAAGTTTGATTCTCGCTAAAGGCAAATTTGAATCATATTATTGCTAGCTTATTGTGAGGCTAAGCACATCATCTCTCCTTTAATGTAGATAATATCATTTATTAAAAAAAATATACAAATTTGAAACGTTCCGAGCGAATCCAATTCGTTTGAAAATTACTCCTAGCAACGACCCAAAGGTCAAGGGCATACTTACAAAAAAATATTAGTTTTAGCTATAACACATGTATTTTTCAATAATTCTTATTTTACTCTTTACACTCTATATTATCCTCACTTTATCATCTGCACTCATCTTTTGTGTCACATTTTAACCCTGCACTCTATATTGTCTCACTTTAACAATGGCACTCTTCCTGAATGTCTCACTTTATCATAATCTGTCAAATAAGTTAAGAAAGCCGTTAATTATGTTGATGTGGTATGAACAATTTAATCTTTTCAACTACGTTAGTTGTGTGGCATATGGACATGGCAGGTTAGTAAAACCCATGGCCATTAGGAGAGTCTAATATCACCATATGATGTGTGGTACTTGAATTATATGCACTGGGATGCGTTGCGGAGTTCTTTTGAGTCTGTTGCACACGGAAGTAAGATCATTGTGACTACACGTGACCAACGTGTTGAATCAATGATGGGTACTGTCACAGCAACCAAATATCTGACAAAGATTGCGGGTGTTATTTGCCAAACATGCCTTCAGCAGTATAAACTCAGCTGTGCATCCAACTCTAGAAGAAATCAGTAGCGAAATAATTAAATTTCTTGATAGAGATTTTACTACCTATAAAAGTAGGGATAAAAATACTTAAAAATACTTACAAGAGTACAAGGTTGTAGTAGTATAGCAGCTCAAGCAAGGCTGTCCGTGGTATCCAGATTGAATGTGAACATGCAAGACTCATTAAGTTTTGTGAAAACCTTTTGAAAAACCATACAACCCTTAAGGCATGTCGTCCATCCTAAGAAGTTACACATATTAACCACTAGAAGTCATTGCCAATTTCAGGGACAACCTCCGCCAAAATTGCATCAAATTACTTTTCTAAATATCCTAATGGTCGCAAATCACTAAGACAAATAGATAGTTTAAAGCACAATGATTAACAATCCAAAACTTGCATGCATAAATTCATAAAAAAATTAAAAAGATACTACATATTCTTGTTAAGGATCATGGCCTCGCCCTAGCAAACGAAACTAGTTACTAACAACCATAAAATAAAATATTATTAACAATATGGATAGAAAACACCTTGAAAATAAACTTGAATCGTCAAGGCTTTCTAAAGCCAAAGTATTGCGTTCTCCCCCCTTATGTTGCGTAAAGAACCCTAATGGCTAACAAGCCTTATTTATACTATACTACTAGAAAATAAAACCCTGCCTTGAAAAGGTCTTAGAATAAAATTAGGAAACATAATTAAATGATAAAATAGAAAATAAAAAGTTTCCTATTTGAACTAGAATTCGGAGTTCTCAGGAAATCACACTTTTGACTGACCAAATCAACTCCGGTTTGGTCTCCAAAGGTCTCCTTTTAAAGCTGAAGACGTCCTCTACAAATTCTCAGAAGGAATCTTCCTCAAAATACACCATCTTGACCTCCAAAATACTTAAAATGTCTAGAAACGTCAATCTGGGAAAGCTGCGCGCTGGCCTTTATTTCATTGCCACGGTCAAACGGCTTGGTAAAAAAATATGGAATTTTGATACAATCATCTTGAAAGGCACACGAATATCCTCCAATTGGAATTACTCCAAAATTCATCTGTTTGATCACTTTGTGCTCCAAAGGAAGTCGAATATCCTATATTGAAAATATATAAAAAAGTATCAAAATTCTACCAAAATAACTAATAAATTAATACTAAGATTAGGGTAAAATATATGGTATAATATGGACTCATCAAAGTGTAAAGGTCTTCCTTTAGCTGCAAAGTCTCTTGGAGGTTTGTGGCGCACTGAACAAATTTACGAGGAGTGGGATGAAATATTGAAGAGTGAAATATGGGAATTGCAAGATGAGAATACCATTCTTCCGGTTTTGAGATTGAGTTATCATCATCTTCCTTCACATCTAAAACGATGTTTTTTCTATTGTTTGATTTTTCCCAAAGATAACAAATTCGGAAAATTAGAACTAATTTTGTTGTGGATGGCTGAAGGCCTTTTGTCACCCCAAAGAAAGCAAATGATGGAAGAAGTTGGAGTTGTGTACTTTGATGATTTAATACCAAGGTCATTTTTTGAGCATTCAGGGGACAACCAATCGCTTTTCACCATGAATGACCTGATAAATGATTTAGCGAAGTTTGTATCAGGAGAATTTTGTTGTAGGATGCGTGATAGTGGCTCGCTCAAGAACATTTCAAGCAAGACTCGTCATTTCTCTTATGCTGTGAATTTTGTCTCATTTGTCCAAGGACTTGGAGGCGTTCCTGCGACTGCAAAAGTGGATATTTCTGGTTTTGAAAAGTTTGAAGCTCTAAGCGAAGCCAAGTAACCTTCCTAGCAATAAAACCTTCATCACCATGGAGTTTGTTCCTATCCTACAAGGTACCTCATGATCTGTTCCAAACACTGTATTCTTTGAGAGTGCTGTCTCTATCTCATTGTGACAACAAGGAGATGCCTAATTGGATTGGGAATTTGAAACATCTAAGGTATATAGACTTGTCATATGGTGGAGTTGAAAAGTTACCTGAAACGATATGTACTTTGCATAATTTACAAACGTTGCTCTTGTCCAACTGTTATGCACTTGCTCAGTTTCCGATCAACTTGGCGAGGCTCATCAACTTGCATCATCTTGATGTTAGAAGCACTAAGGTAAAAGAGATGCCACCACATATGGATATGTTGAAGGATCTCCACACATTAAGTGACTTTGTCGTAGGCAAACAAACTGCATCTGACATTAAAGAGTTGAAAGAGCTTCAGATAGCAGGTACACTTTCTATTTCAGGGCTTCATAATATTGTGAATTCTGTGGATGCTTTTGAAGCCAATATGAGAGATAAGCACCTTAACGAACTAGCTTTGACATGGGGATCTGATACCGATGATTTACAGAAAGATATAGAGGTGCTGAGTTTTGTGGTAATGATATTTCTGTTGCTAGGCCATTTAGATCTCATCAATTTTATACTTCAAAGATATGTTGGGGTGGCAAGAGTGGTCTCATTTCGGAAATAGCCAAGAAGACGGAGCTTTTCCTCATCTTTGTCAGCTTTATCTGGAAAATTGTCCCAAGCTAACTGAGAAATTACCTGATTATCTTCCATCCTTGGCTACACTTGAAGTAAGGAGACGCGAGCAACTTCTGGGTTCACTTCCAAACTCTCAAGTTATTTTGGAGACACCGTCTAATGATGGTCTGGCCTATGCTTTAAGTGTTCTCAAAATAAAGTACTGTCGGAAATTATCTCAGCTAAATAACTGCTAGCTATGCATTCCTTGGAACATTGAAGATAAAGAGTAGCTGTGATTCAACCAAGTCCATTCCGCTGGACTACTTCCCAAGGGTTAAAGAGCTCAAGTTATATGACTGTTTGAATCTGGAATCCCTTACTTATTCACATGTTTCTGATAGCCCGACATTCTTGTTCCTCGGTATCTTGAAAATACATAAGTGCCCAAATTTTGTATCTTTTCCCAAAGGAGGACTGTACGCCCCCAACTTGATAGAGCTTATTATATATGAATGCAACAAACTGAGGTCATTGCCAGAACATATGTGCACCAGGCTCTCATCTCTTCGGGCTGTAACCCTAAACTATTATCCTGAACTTGAGTCATTTCCTGAAGGGGGACTACCTCCAAATTTGGATATGCTGCGTATCTTTGGATGCAAGAAACTCATTGCCAACCGCATGCACTGGGGTCTGGATAGGCTCATCTCTCTCATATGCTTTGGTATCAGCTTTGAAGAATGTGAAGACGTTGTACCATTTCCGGAGGACAGCCTTCTGCCCACAGTTCTGACTACTCTCTACATCAACAATAGTCCAAATCTTGAGATCCTGGACTCTTAAGGGTTTCCAGAACCCCACCGCTATTCAAGAATTGTTCGTTGATAAGTGTAATAAGCTGCAGTGCCTGTCAGAAGAAGGGTTTCATATGTCTTTCTCTTCTGGAGATCAATGAATGCCCTTTGCTGACACAAAGGTGCCAGAGAGAGATAGGGGAAGATTGGCCGAAGATTTCTCACATCACTCGTGTATGCGTTGATGGCTCCTCAATTTCATAAACTGATCAACTCTCTCTCAGGTACTTCTTCCACAATATGTTATTTGAAATCCATGAATGGTTTAATATTAGTAGGGAATCTGAAAATTCTTAGTTCCTTTGCTTGAAATTGTATGACTATAACATGAACAAGCTTAGTACAGTTATCATCGGAACAACAAAATATTTGTTGTCTACCTTGTGCCTCACATGTGCTCACTACTTCTTAGAGGAAGTCTCCCATACGAAGGATTCATCATCGAAAAATCTTTGTTTCTAAGTATTCTGTTTCGTTGAAAAACGTATCTTTATAAATGCTGCAAGCTTGTTCTTACTGTGCTGTTCACTGATCAGGAATTACTTATGTTCATGGATTATTTTGCTCTGGTACCTGCAAAAGCATCAGTGTTCTGGCATTTGTTTCTTGATGTCGATTCAAGTTAGTCCATTTGCATCAACACTCAAGTGATTGAAAGTTTTGAATGCAAATGCTTCTCCTCAGAGGCATCACCTGAATATGCCAGTACAGATGATTGAACGTAGAAAAACAGGAATTTAAGGATTCTCTTTATATTTTTCTGTTAGAGTTCGTGCAGATATTGTAATTCAACCAACCTTTTTTCTTTCATTTCATACCACATTCATTTCGCAGCACTCGCAGACATCATAAGCTTATTGAACACAGGTGTACACTAGCGTTGATGGGTACGCTATATCGCTAAATCTTGATCGAAGTACGATTTGTTTTGTTATGTTATTTTCTGGTGTTTGTTTTGCAGATTTGAATTTGTTAATCTTGCCGAACGGTTGGCTTTGTTGCCCAATATTATGCATTACAACGGTTCTTAAAACGTTACGCTTTATGGGACATAAACTTCTTCGCCTTACACGGTTGCAGTTTAAAAACACAGTCGAAACACTACCACGACTGGGTTGCAGGGATTGTGCAGAACACTGCCTTTCCTATCAATGCAACAGAAATAAACCAACATTCAACTCGAAATAATACAAGCAAGCTAGCTATTTTATAACGATCAACTGTCCGTCTTATTTACGCTGCAAGAGTAGTAGAACACAAAATCACTAATCAAACAAATTTTTTTCCTCTCACAATTGAAGATACACAACGATCATTCGCCCCAAACCAATTGAAAGATATTCTTACTAGCGCTTGCATTGACGGCATTGTTACTCTGTGTTCTAAGCATCTCCTCTTGTGCACGTACATCACCCTCCTAGTTAACAAAATGTCGGTTAAACTGTAGTGAGTACAACCAAAGTGCAAAAAACAGCTTCGCTTGATCAATGCAATGACAGAGCAGAAATTAATTAAACAAGTTAAAAATTAAAAGATTATTCAGGTAAATAGATCAACGCAATTAGATAAGCTAATCACATAGAAATTCCACCACAACTAGCACTGGTCGAACAGCTGTACTAAGAACAAACTCATGTCATAGAAAGAAATAGGGTGCGAATTTCTCACACGAATGCACTCTTGACTCTTCTGTACTAATGTTATATCATAGAAAACAATCAAGATACGCAGTTGAAATTGAAGTCAGCCAAACATCAACTTCATCACTAAGGATTTAAAATGGTTAAGAGCAACTTAGAGTTGATTTATACTCTTAAGCACATTCGTCTCTAAGAATAGTTTGTATTTTTTTAACCAAAAAATATTTAAGTTAAAAGGAGATCTCAGAAAAATTAAAACTAGTGGAGCTAGGCTGGAAGATTATAACACGTACACATCTCTTCTTATAACACAGTAGGCTTGATATTTTCAAATTCTCCAAGGGTAAACTAATGCATTAAATTCCAACCCAAGGATGGAGGACTTACAAGTAAAGAGTAGGCACGAGCAAGAGATAAAAGTGTCGGGTACATATCCAGAACAGCTATGGCGACTTCCTCAGTTACCTGTGGGACCTGCACATATGAGGTATGATTTATGTAGAGTTTTTCACCATAATCTCACTATCTTAGTCCTCAAAACTAAGCATAAACAAACCGTATCATATACTGACTCAGAAACATCTTAAGAGCAATGTTCCCATTTTTAAACGAATTAGCCATGGACGTACTTTTATTAATGGCGTTTTTATGCTCTACTAGAACTGGAATTTTTTTACATATACCTCCGCAGAAACACACCTTTTACTTAATAGTTCTATAATCCTATATATACACGTTTAATCTAAAACAAAAAAAAATAATTAAAACAAAAAGGTAAAGCATTGAAATTAATTTCCTCAAACCATGTTTATTAAAGGAACCATAGTTTGCTACACTGAGAGATGATAGACAAGGCATCAGTGACTGTCAAACAAGGGATGGTAATCCTATCTTTCAAATTCATGCATACCTGCATGAGCTGAACTGCAAAAACGTCGCTGACTGTCATTTTATCCAAGTCTTGGCACCTTCTAATAAATTCTTCAAAAGGAGGACAAACCCCAGCATGTTTGCGTTGTTCCTCGGAGAACTTTGATTTGTAATACTGAGCTATTGCTTGAGTAAGATAAACATACTTCTTCAATGTATCAGCCAAGCCAATGGTTCTCTGGACGTCAAATCCCTCCAAAATCTCAGTTGTGAAACAGCTGCACAAGATGAGAATTCAGAGAATAATATATACATTTTGACATCACTAGGATTACTATATCACAATGGGATTTGAGCTATAGATAATCATGGATACTAAATTTAAAAAACATGAAATCAAAATTGAAACTGAAAAGAAAGGATCCTAGAACATGTGGGTTGATGTTCAATCTTCAAGTAAGAAGCAAAGATATGCAGCATTCTTATTTAGAGTTTGACATGTAAAACCTATTGAATTACTAAATCCTTACATGACCCTTATCAGTAAAAAGCAATCATATGTTCTAAACAACCAGCTAGCATTTAACTTAGCCTTCAATAATAATTCCACTTCAACAAGACGGCAACTCAAACTATAGGGATGATGCAAGTAAATTTTCAATATGATTACAGATTTATAAGAAAACAGAAGTTTGATGTTCAACATTCTTTTGGAAGCCTAGTTGATCGCTTAAGGTTGGAAATTAGTGTTTCACAAGTGTAGCACGTGGGGTTTGGTTTAGGTACTCGTTTGGGATGGAAATGTTTAATTCTAGGTCTGCTAAAACGCTGTGTGCTGCTGAACAATACCCAAGGGAAAAACCATGACGGGTTGTGGTCCTAAAAGCAAAGAAAATACTTGGTGATGCTGTCATAGTGAAACAGAACGTTGATATCAAATCATTACCAGAGTTATTTATCACGGTAATGATTGAATTGAATAGAATTATTTATAGTCAAGTGGTACTGGTGATAGATGTAGCTTTTAAAAATATTTACAAGAATGCTTACGCTGTTTTAACGCTTTCTGCTGCTTCAGAAGTATTTGGATCACCTTCCACAAGATATATCAGTTTCTTGAGTCCACACCTCTGACAATATGCAATTAAAGGACCAACATGTCAGAATAACGTAAACAAAAATAGTTTCACAGTAAATCCAAAACTGCATGTAAAAGGTCACACTAGAAGCAGACAAAATTTCTCATGTACTTAACCAATGCATGTAAAACATCTGAACTAAAATTGCCAGGCACCAAATCACTGCATTGAGCATGGGTAAATGTTAAAAAATTCCAATAAGGGACAAACATGTCAAGTTGAACTTATAATATCCATATGTAAGGGGAGAAAAACAATAAGAAGAATTAACTAATAGTAATATGTTTTTAATTGTCAATCTTTCTTTGTGGGAAAGTTAATTCAGTATTTCAACTCAAGTCTCCTATTCATCCTATAACACTTCAGTTGATAATAAATGCTAAAGGTAAACTCAGAGAAAACACCAAGTTTCCACAATAAAATGGTCACATAACAAGAATAATTTTGCAACAACTGCAAACCAAAATGCATCCAAAGTATAATAGAAACCAAAATTACACATAACGATAAAGATAAAACATCTAATCTTTTGAATAAGAATCAATACCAAAAGTCTCAATTTCTGATCCCTGTAACGATTATCTCTGATTGAACAGCGCAAATCATCAACATTCTTCCTCTCAACAATAAAATCAAGTACATATTCACTCTCGAGTTGTTTATGACGAGCTATCCAGATTGCATCTCCAACTGGTAACCTCCTAACCTGTAGAAGATTCATTTACTAATTACAGTTTGCATCAAATGAAGGAGAAGATACTGCAGAAACAATACAGACAAGTACCTCTTAAGTTAGTACGACTAGATTATTTAAATTGTCAAATAACGATTATAAATCACAGCTTTATTCTAGACGACTTACTGAAGAGACAAACTGAGTTGAGTGATACATAGATAGGGAAAGGAAATCCAAAACCGGTGGCTTTCTTAATAGCAGATTGGGGAAAAATACCAAACCATGCCCCAACTGCAATACTGTCACAGTATCCAAAACTACATACTGTAAATTCTAACTCCTGGGAAACTGTGTTGTGGCATAGCCTTGATGCAGGTAGTCTGTGAACTGAAAGGTTTTAAGCAAAACGAAGATAAATTCCTGTAAAAATTAAGTGGCAATAATAGTATTGAGTGTATTGACAACTCTACAACTAAATACTTTCCTAAAGGACAAAAATCAATGGACCATTAATTAGAAAACCAGCCCGTAAAATAAGCATTATACAACAAAGATTTCATGATTGTATTTAAAGTTCTAGCTGACCGCAATCATGAAGCAGCAAAATAAGTAAAGCACTATACAAATAAATGATACAGAATGATATGTGAAACCAATAAAGAAT